GCAATTTATCTGTCCTCCTGGGCCAACCCCAGTCTACATCTAAAACCAAGTCTCTCTGACTTTGACCCTTCTCCCTTCCCCATCAGGCTGCTGTCTAAAGACTGAAGAGTCTTGTGCAGCCTAACCAAAAGCTCCCCCTCCAGGCCCTGAGGCATTTAAGTCTAGCTTTGACGGTAGGATGGCAATGTCAGATCCACCTTCTATACTAAGGGCTTTGGAAACCTCACTTCCAGAACATGAAAGCCATGGCCCTGGTTTTCTCTGAGCTCAAGAGCCTCCCATCTTCTTCCCAGACTTCACAGTGACAGTGGCCACATCACCTGAAGTGTGCCTGTGGTCAGCCTGCACCACGCACACACAGCCTCCGGGGTAAGGAATGAAGGAGGCTGTGGAGGCCAGTCCCTCCCTTGTCCTTTCCTATCCAGTGCACGTAGTCACCCTCTGTGGGATGAGTGTGTGCAGGTAAATTCTGGCTAGAATATTTGAACTTTATAGTTCAGAGCAAAGGAAGTCTCAGGTCCTATATATTCAAATATTCAGAAACCTGGTCTTTGGTTATTGGATTACTGGAAACAGCAGAGGTGTTTGTCTTCCACTCCTTGCAATGAACTTTAAGCAGAAGAGAGAGAGAGAGCTGTGCCAGAAACAACTTCTAGGGAAGCCCTGAGGTAACCCTGGATTCAGCCCAAACTTTTCCTGCCTGCATGATGGCACAAAGGATAATTCAAAACCTTAATGGTGGCTGAATCACCACGATCCTGAATCACGGAAGATTAAGTTATATTTTCCAAACAGCTCATATTTTCTAAGGCAAGAAAATATAACAATGTGTTTCATAAAGAAGTCACAAAAAAATCTAAGCAAGTATCTACCTAGACCTAAAATAACCAGAGCATTCGATCGACTACAATTGTCAGATCCTCTCAAATGTTTTCTGTGGCTGCCGTTGAAAAATTCAATATAATTCAAGGCCAGTTTAACTTCTTGTACACAGATAATTTCATAGCAGACAAATTGTCATTCAAGTCGATCAATGATTCAGTTTGCCTATAACAGTATAAACAGAACCTTTGAAAGTATTGCTTTTTTTTTTTTTTTTTCATTTCTTGCTATAAACCATCAGATTCAGGCCAGAAAATATATACTCCAAGCAGAACAATGATCTGCCTTCAGTTCAGTGAAGTCTCTTACTCAATGAATCAAGAATTAGTCATTGAATTCATTATAAAAAGTACATTTCTGTTTTGCTGAACCACTATTTGTTTTAATGTTGGAAGGCGAATCTGACCCCAGATAATGCAGGTCTTTCTTCTTTTCATAGAAGTGGCCACAATGTTCAAGGCTTTTGAGTTCCAAGTTTTTCAGCAGGCCTCCCTTCTAACCCATACTTTTTTTAAGGACAGCATCTTTTCCAGCGTCAGGAATGTGAGCCAAGAGACTGCAACCCCAAGCCTAACTGGAACATACGTTCCAGGAAGCAAGGTAGAAAGTTTCCAAAGTCAGTCCTTTAGGTAGCAAGCCCAGAAGGCTGGAGAGCTGGCTCCATGGGCAGCAGCCATTACTGCTCTTGCAGAAAATGGGGCTTGGTTCCCAGCACCCACATCAGGTTCACAACTACCTATAATCCCAGGTCCAGGGAAAAGGATGCTCTCGGGCCTCAGTAGTGCCTGAATATATGGTGTGCACACCAGCTCACTCAGGCAGATGCATACAAGTAAAAGATAATGCTTTTTAAAGTGAGGAGAACCTGTTTCCCTCTGATTGAACTTAAATTCTGGTCTTGGTCAACTCAGGCCATGCCCCCAATCTTCAGTCTCTGCCTTCAGATACTAGCACAGGGTTAAGGGAGAGAAGGGAGGAATCCTGGTCCTCGCTCTCCACCATCATCTCCACAGTCTTCCTCAGCCTTGTCTTTCCTGTGGACCCCACTTGTCATTCCTGAAGCTCCTGCTAAAACCCTGGGTCCTTGTCCCGACCAACAGAACCTTTAAACTAGCTGGTCCTCATGATTCTCAGCTGCCCACAGAATATTGTGTCATTTCTTTCTCCGGGATGCGGGGGTCGATGAGGTACATGCAGGCTTACCACAGATGAGATGAAATGAGATGAGATGAGATGAGATGAGATGAGATGAGATGAGATGAGATGAGATGAGATGAGATGAGATGAGATGAGATGAGATGAGATGTCTCACTGAGCCTTTTCAACCCTCCGATAAAAAGAGCCAGGACCTGGGTCAGTTGCCACCCCAGCCTGTACCCATCCCTCAAGCTCAGAAGACAGAGGTAGCACTTGGGGCTCCTTCCAAGGGCCTCACAAGAATGCTCATGCTGGATGAAATTGCCAGCTCACTCTAGCCCAGAGAAGTTGATCCCTTCTATGGAGAAACCAACCAGACTCGGCAAATATGTTTCAAGATCTATTGCTTCAGTTTCAATCTCAACTCTGAAACCCAAAAGAAAAGTTATATATATATATATTATATATATAATATGTTTATAAGTATAGAATCATAAATTTTATAATTATTACTTAATTTTGTATATTAAATACATAAATAAATATGCATATTATATATACTTATGTTTCCCCCAGTATCCCTGCCCTACCCTACTCAGTCCACCTAAGAATGCTTAATTTCTAAAAACTTCAGAGAAGGTTGAGTAACAACTTTAGAAAGACAAATAAGTTCTTTCAAAGTAATTGTCCTAAAAAGAACTGAAATGCAAATATCTCAAAGAAACTCAAGAGTGGGGAAGGTCAATTCTGAAAAAGCAGGTTGTCCCAGAGACAAAGACTATAGGTCAGACACAGACTTTGCAAGTGAATGAGGTTCCTAGGGATCTAGGCCTGTATTTGGCTGTGAGTGTAAGATCCCGGGGACTTACCCATCATTGTGGCCTCCGACCACCTGGAGCTGGATGAGATGTTAGTTACTTCTCTCATGACTGTGACAGAAGCAGCTTAAGGAAGAAAAGGGTTGTTTGGGTTTGGTCTGCAGAAACAGTCACGGTGGAGAAGGTCTGCTGGTACTGGAGCTCACTGTGACACTGGGGTTCAGAGGCATCTGATCACATAGTCATAGTCATAGTCAGGAAGCAGAGGGAGATGTTGACCAGTTTACTTTCTTCTTTTTTCTTTTTGATCCAGTCCAGACCCCTTACCATAACTTTGGTAGAGCGCCCATTCTCAGCTACTCTGGAAATGCCTTAATAAAGATACCTACGTGTGTGTCTCTCAGGCAACTCTAAATCCATTCACATTATCAATGAAGATTAAACACCACAAATAAAGACCTAAATTCTGGAGAAAGGGGATTGACGCTTAAATGGTCCAAGTTTGAGGATACTCTAATATTTATTTAAATAAATTAATACAAGTTGAGTATCATTAACTGAAATGCATGGGACCACAAGTATTTGAGATTGAGGGGTTTTTTTTATTTAAGACTATTTACATACACATGAGATATTTGGTGGACGGGACCCCGGTCTATACATGAAAGTCACTTATGTTTTATATATACTTAAGAATCTATTGTAACATAGTATGATAAAATATTCTTAGCACATCTACATTTTAACCATAACAGTGAGGTCAGATGTAGAATTTACTTCTATTTTGACATTTCACCAGCTCTCAAATAGTTTCCCATGTTGGAATTATATGTTTCACAGTTGGAGATTCTGGATACTCAGCCTGTGCTACAGTTCTGATCACTGCAACTAGCAACGGCCAGCAGCTCTTTGTCACCCAACCAGGCTAAAAAAATAATAATAACTGGAACTAGTCAATATTTTGCCCAGAACGCAACAACACTGATACATTCACTTTTCAAAGTAGAGTGTGTCACATCATAAAGTAATTTTACCACATAAAGGAGCACGTAAAATTTCTTAAAATGTCTCAGGACCATGAAATCAAGGAACACCAAAAAGGGAATGAAAATATCTTTCCTAACCCAATGTGAATCAAGAAGCCACCTGGAGTCTTCCTTACAAAACCCAAAAGGGAAGAAACAATGGAGAAAAGAATTTCCTCAAAGCAGCCTTCCCGGGAAGGCTGAGAAGGCAATAGAGGGATGGCTTGTTCACTCAGTAATGGTAGGCATATCGCCACACAGGCAAAAAATAAAGACAAACCAAACAGAAACCTAAGAACATGCTTAAAACATTTAAAGAGGACTAAATAGAGTACACAATTGATTTATGTGGCAAAAGTCTCACGACAGAAAAAGGAAGCTGTAGGATGACAAAGTTTCATCCTCCTAACTATTGTAGGATATAAAAGTACATGATTATGAAAATTTACACTACATGTTTATTTGTTCAATCATATGACTGATGTTAGTTCCTCCAACCAGGCCCTAAGATGCGTAAGAGCAAGGATGCTAGCTCTGTGCTGTCATCCTTAATAAGTCTCCGACATACATTGAACTCTTTGTGGTATTTATAAAGACAATATGTGAGATTAGCTGTGCACAGTGTGTGGGAGAAGGGGCATGGGGAAAAAGTTAACCCATTGAGAGGAAAGGAGACCAGCCTTAAGTAAGCCAGTCTGAAGTAGCCTTGTGGAAGTGAACCTTGAGCATAAAGGCTCGTGACACAAGAACTAGAGCATTTTGGCCACCAGAGAACAAAAACATCAAAGAAGTTTAGCACAGGCCCTGGACTCTAGGTGGAGTCTGCTAGCAACAAGAGTTACCCCAACTTAAAAAGAAGCTAGACCTGCAGGACACAGGGCTCACATCTGCCAAGTCTTCATAGGCTTGAGAAAGGGGGACACAAGCTCTGTCACAGTGTTGCAAGGGCTGGTCTTTGCGAAATGCAATGCATGCAAATATATAATAGTATGTATATTATAAATAAAAATACTGCAAAATGGAATGATAAGAAGCATTAGCACAACCCTCCAGGGAGGAGCTATAGACATAAGATGGTGTGTTTGGAGTCAGCCCACATTTGCCGCCTTCCTGACCCGAGATCCCTTGTGTTTTTCAGAACTCGGATGCAAGTTATGACTTCAGCAGCAATGACCCCTACCCGTACCCTCGATACACAGATGACTGGTTCAACAGGTAAACTGATCCTTGAGAACCTCTGCTGGTAACCTTTGGAGTTCATTTTACTCTGTTTAGGGATCGAGTGTCACCAGCAAACTCATACCAACATTTACAGTGGCTGCATTTCTAAATCCTTGACTTTTTAGTATTGCAACGCCCCTCAAGACTTATCTCTTGATTGTCTTCTTCTGTTGAACTAGAAATTGTTCTCCAATCTAACCTATTACAAATAAGGGGGGAAAAAAACAGAAACAAGGAAACTTCTCTCAACTTCCTCTACAGTGATTTAAAAGAGTGTACTTGTTCTATGAAAGCTATTCTAGAGAAACTTTTTTTTTAAGACAGGGTCTCACTATGTAGCTTTGGCTAGTCCGGAACTCACTAGAGTAGACCAGGCTGGCCTCATACCCACAGAGAGCTTCCTGTCTCTGCCTCCAAGGTGCTGTGATTAAAGGCATCACCATATTCAGCTCTACTCTGGGAATTACCAGTGGCTCAGTGTTGGCATATTTTTAAAATATTTCTGCTATAACATCTTAACAGTCTCATGTTCCTTTCCACAGATGTGTAATTGACAGAGGTTCTCCATTCAGAGCGATAGGGTTCGCCTGAGGGTACCATTTTTCTCCATCCTATTTTGTGCTAACCACCAAAACGTGGCTTCTTTTTTTTCTTTGGGTAAATATCTTGTTTACATGGTCAACTGCATATGAGTAATACTCAGAAATTTAGGTGTTTGACTTACTCCAAGGAAAAAATGCTCTAAGTTTCAAACCTGGTGCATAGGGAGTGGTTGCTCAGTGGGAACTGAACCACAGTTAGAGATGAGCAAGGGTTCCGGTGTGTGACTGCAGAGCAGAGTGACTACAGATGACAGCGGTGTCTGTCCAGAAAGCTAATGAATACAACTTAAAGTATTCTCATCAAAATGAAATGGTTAAATGTTTGAGAAGACAGACGTGTTAAACCCAATCTAACTGTGATGTATTGAGATGTCCCAAGGTAATATTTAATATGTACATTTTATGTGTCAGTTAAAAATAAACTAATTTAAATTTTAAAGTAAATTAAATCATAAACTGCTGATTCCATATTACTCCTGCCCTTGGGTGAAGATCATAAAAGCGTCTGAATTTCAGCTCACAGCGTGAGAGCAGCTGTGCACAGGCAGCTTTCTCCCTTGTTCCTGCCTCTTGCCGCAACCTCACCTACCGACGACCCAGAGGTTATCTTCTTCAAATCAGTGACAGGGAAAAGGTGGAGGAAGACTGAATGGCTTCTCTCATCAAACAGTCTGGGTTCAGTCAAAGCCAATAATAGGCCATGCTTTACGGTGTTTAAAAATACAAATTCTTGGATTTTTATTTTTTGTCTGTAAGCCAGGTTGACCTCAAACTTACTATGTAGCCTAGGCTGGCCTTGAACTTTCAACGCTCCTCTTGCTTGTGTCTACGAAGTGCTAGGATTTCAGGTGTGCACCACTACGCCCAGCTGAAATGTGTACCACTTTTACAAGTATTATTGTTTTTTATTATTTTATTCAAGAAGTGTGATATCCAGAAATGATCAGGGCAGAATCCAAAGGAAGCAAATGGCTTGGGCTAGCTTCCTACCAAGCCAGGGAATGTAGGTGTGGAGGCTCAACACTTTTAGGAAATGCAGAAAGAGTGAAGAAGAGAGTTCAATTCAAACATGTAGTCATTATAAAGGACAGTTACTCATGTGCAGCAGCATAATTTCTTCTCTACCAAGCTCTTGCAGCCAGAATACGACCATGCAGTACTTGAAGGGTGTCTTTGCAGGGTGAGAACATAGCTAATAAGATCTGAGAACTCTGGCCATGAAGTCTCTTATTCTCATGGCTCAGAACCTGCATCCTAGCATCTTACCAGATCAATCATTTTACTTTTTATTTTTTAATTTTTACAATTTATTCATTTTATATCCCTATTATAGCCCCCTCCCTTATCTCCTCCCAGTCCCACCTTGCCTCCCTCTTCGCCTCATCCCCTACCCCTAATCCACTGAAAGGGGGAGGTCCTCTTCCCCTGCCATCTGACCCTAGCTTATCAAGTCTCACCAGGACTGCCTGGATCCTCTTCCTCTGTGGCCTGGCAAGGCCGAATCACAGGGAAAAGAGAAGATCCAATCATTTTCAGACACGAGGAAATGAAGTTACCAAACAAATGTCCCTAAGTAAAATTTTGGAAATAACTAACAGAGACTCTGGATTGCTGTGAAGAGTCAGATCTGGCCTCAGCATTGACTGCTTGGCTGATTGCTGAGCAGCAGCATCACATGCACCCAACTCCATCCTCTCTCTGTAGCTAATAGATCTTAAGTGTAGAGAAACTGGCGCAAGTAGATAGGGGAGATTTTCCTGAATATAAACACAGACTCCTCCAATCTAAACCTTGTGGGTTTTTTTTCCTTTTTTTATTATCCCGACTACAGTTTCTCCCCCCCCCCCCCCCCCAGTGTTCCATGATACCGCCCTTTCCCCAGAATCCACCACCCCTCAGACAAGAGCAGGCCTGCCAGGGACATCAACCAAATGCCGCATAGCAAGCTACAGTAGGACCAGGCCCTTATTCTCACATCAAGGCTGGATGGAGCAATCCAGTAGGAAGAAAAGGATTCCAAAGGCAGGGAAAAGAGTCAGTGACAGCCCCTGCTCCCACTATTAGGAATCCCACAGGAGCACCAGGCTACACAACCATAACATTTACACAGAGGACCTCGCTCAGGCCCTGTCAGTTGATTCTGTGGGCCATGTTCTTGTGGTGTCCTCGACCCCTCTGGCTCCTCCAATCCTTCCTACCTCTCCTCCACCAGACTCCCCAAGCTCCGCCCAATATTTGACTGTGGGACTCTGCATCTGCCCTCATCAGTTTCCTGCAGAATGAAAGTACATTGGTGCCTGGTGTTGTCTTCAGAACTATATACTATAACCTGAGGCAGGAGGTGGAGAATAGATTGGGACCTTGAGGAAACAGAACTGCTCTCTCTGATGATGACTATGCTGGGTTCCAGTCCCAACATATCTTACAAGCATGACAAAAGGCAGGTCGGAGGTTTTGTGGTTGTGTTGGTGTCTCAGAACCTCTCCTTGAGGCCTTGCCTGGTTACAGAGGATGTTCAGGCTCTGTGACCTCATTACTGGGAGTTTTCACTACTGTCACCCTCATAGATTCCATGGAGTTTCCCTTGCACTAGGTTTCTACATTGACCCCAAAATCCTTCCCCCCCATTCTAGGCATCTCTTAGAGTATTCGCTCCATCCATTCCCCAGCCTGCTCCCTCCTGTCCCAATCTCCACCCGCCCCCAGTCCACCCAGGAAATACATTTTCCTTTCCCAGAGAGAGCCTTGCATTCCCCCACTAAGCCCTTCTTGCTACTTAGCCTCTCTGGGTCTGTGGATTACAGAATGTTTATCCTTTGCTTTACATGCTAAATCTTCTTGTGTGATACATGTAGAATATTCCTTCAAAATAAAACTCTAAGAAAGTGCTTTATCTCTTAAATATTTTCATTTGCAAGCTTCTTCTCGAAAGTTCCATTTTAAACAGGCTAACAGCCTCTAATTAGATCTAATTAGTGTTTAGTGTGATAAAAATCCATCACTGTCAGCAGGAAGACTTCCCAAGTGACAAGTTTACAGAGATGCACTCCTAGGGAGTTAGGCAAGTGTTCCGCTTGTGTCCTAGGAAACCAACGACTCAAGACAGAGTGTCTGTCCACTCTGGCCAATAAATAACTTTCCCCCAATTATCAAGTTGTTCTCAACACTTTCATCCATGACAGCGTATATTGCAAAGATCCAGTGACACCAACATGGCTTCACAAACATAACAGAGATTGTCTACCACATTGAGAGAACTTAGCCCAGAAAGTTGGCACCTGCTTGGCATGAAGAGAATTTAAATAAGGTGTCTTTCTTCCAAGGATATGTCACTAAAAGTTTCCTGCAGAATGAAAGGACATTGTACCTGGTATTGTCTTCAGTACTACTTACTATAATTCAGGGCAGGAGGCAGAGAACTAATTGGGGTGTTAAGGAAATGAAACTGGTCATCGGCTGTTGTCAAAGCTGAAAGCTGGAAGCATGAGAGTTTGCTCTGTTTTTATACAGACTATCATGATGATGGAAATATAGCTGAGCAAAAACATCTCACCTTGTGGCTGACAGGAAGCAGATAGACAGAAAGAGGCCCAGGGCCAATCTAACCCCTAAGTGCAAGTCCTACCTCCTTCAGCTAGGCCCCACCTCATAGATTCCTTCACCTCCCAAAACAATGACTCCAACTGACAACCAAGCCTTCAACACACAAGCCTGTTTAGGACATTTTCTGTTCTAACCATAACATTAAGATGAGCGATAAACTTGAAATGAAGGAGGCATAGACGGAGGCAATGAAAAGGCGTGGGGTTGAGTTCCATCCTCATGAAAGCACTACTTTTGCTGTGCAAGCTTCCGAGGAGGAAGCACAAGCCTGAATCACCACAACACTGGCTGATCCAAAGCTGATATCACACAACAAGCTAACACACTTTGAGCTAACCTTATATCTCTAAGCACAGCTATAATGCTTTGAATGTGTTGTTTAATTACCACAACTCTCTGAGTTACCAGAATGATTCCTGAGCTCATAGCATATGCCACTTGTACAAGGTCCCACTATTAATAATTGGTAGAGGCCAATATTGATGTCAGAGAGGGGCTCATTGGCCCAAGACCTTAATGAAGATCATAGGTGAAGTTGAAAATGGGAGCAAAGAAGAAGAAAGAAGAGAGGTACAGAATGCACTGAGAAGCACCCTGGACATCTGGTTCAGAAGCTGGAGATAGTGTGGAGCAGCAATGTAAGCAGGGTTATGGAGGAGGAGAGAGAGGCTGCTAAGAGAAGGCAGAGGACAGACGTTGTGTCTGGCTGAGGAAACTGATCCAGGGTCACAGATGCGGGCCCCAATCCCACTGCACTCAAAGGCTGTTGTCACCCTGAGAAGCAGGAGC